ATTGGTGATGGTGAGAATATTGGTGAGGTGAGAATTAGTGTGGGAGAATTTTTTGATGAGGTGAGAAGTAATGTGAATGGTGAGAATTATTGGTGATGGTGAGAATATTGGTGATGGTGAGAATATTGATGAGGTGAGAATTATTGATGAGGTGAGAATTAGTGAGGTTAGAATTAGTGTGGGAGAATTAGTGTGGGAGAATTAGTGGGGGAGAATAGTGGGGGAGAATTAGTGAGGTGAGAATTATTGGTGATGGTGAGAATATTGATGAGGTGAGATGGTGAGAATTATTGATGTGGTGAGATGGTGAGAATTATTGATGTGGTGAGAATGAAGTGAGAAGTATTGAGGTGAGAATTACGGTCATAGGTGATGGTAATTCTTGTCTTGGTGACATAATCATCATCGACGTGGGTGATCATAGTTTCTTTGGTGATGTTAGTTTCGATGTTGCTGGTAATAACGTTGCTGGTGAGAAGTGATGGCGGTGGTAATATCTGTGTGGTGATGGAAAAGGTTATTGATGGCAATGAGAATTGTTGTGGAGGTGCATGGGATGAGAATTATTGTCGTGAGAATTATCGATGATGATGCCAGTGCTACTGATGGTGAGATTATTGTAATTGGGGTGAGAACTATGCTCGTGAGAATCATTATCAATGATGATGGGGGTAAAACTGATGGTGAGATTATAGTCGACGATGACATTTATTGATAGTGATGGGATTATTATGGTGGTGGTAGCTGATGGTGGTGATACTAATTAGGGTTGTTGGAGGTGGTAAATTATTGCCCATGGTATAATTATTATCGATGGTGGTATTGACCTTATGCAGAATAACACTATTGATTGTGGATTATCGATGGTGAGAATTATGTCATTGGATGGCAGTATTTTCGTAACCACGACCGGACTATCCAGCCATGTGCCCAAAATTTGGCAATCAACACAAAAAGCATCTAATCAATTCACGTCATTTCACGGCATGTACCCCATTACCTCATAAATCCTTGTCGTTTTTTTCAGCCATCATGCGAATTCATGAACCAATCACAGCATCAACTATTTTGCCAATATTAGACCAAAGAAAAAGTAATATTTCGGGCAGATACGCCATTACCGTATCTGTGAGCGATGGCCTCGCCAAAGTTTTTTATAACATCGTCTAACTTTACATTCCTGGCATCTATGAAAACAGCATCATTTTTCTCAAGTATTTTGCTCATCTCGACAATGCTTCCACCAGTATGTATCATCCATCACTCCCGTGATACAACTCCGATCACACCTGTTCCCTTTTTCTGGTGGTGATGGGATTATTGGGCAATATTGCTGGTCGTAAGAATTTTCGTCCATGGTGATACAATTATTATTGATGATGATGATAATTATGGTCGATGGTGATGGCAATAATACTGATTGTGGTGGCAATAATACTGATGGTGATGGTGAGTATTATTGATGGCGTTGAGAATTACGTGGATGGTGGAGTTTATACTGTTGATGGGAAGAATTATTGTCGATGTTGGTGGCAATATTTCTATGGTTGTATTTATTATTGATGTTGCCGGTATTAATGCTGATGGTAAGAAATGTTGTCGATGGCGATGACGTTGTTATTGCGATGATAATTAATAGCAATGGTGAAGGTAATAATCTTCTTGTTGATGATGAGAATGATTGTCAATGGTGGTAATTATCGCTCATGGTGATGAATATTACTGTCGCTGGTATAAGTTTTATTGATGCTGGTGAAGTGGTGTCGGTTATAATTTTGGTAGTGATCATGAAAACTACTGTCGACCGTGATCTGATTATCTTGGATGGTGGAGGTAACATTATTGGTGGCGAGGAGGATATCATAATATCGAGAATTTTCTATTTCTGGTTCTAAATAAATTAGTTATAACAATACAATTAAATGTAATACACCAGGAGGGGGTGAGACTTCCGATAAATATGTACATAACTCTATAATAATATACACAAAAAACATTAATCAAGACATTACATATAACTAGATTAATATGTAATGATAAGATTAAACTCTTATATCTTTTATTACCTCAGATAAAATTACATGCACTTTGAACAGTTTAAGATATACTCACGCCGATATATTCTGCTTAATACGTAAGGTGCTTACTATTACAGAGTAAAGAGTATCAAGTTTGTGTATCATACTAATTACAGGAAATTAATTCTCCAGAGACGTTACTTTTAAACCGTTAAACTCATCATTTAAAACACGTTTAGTAAATGGGAATATCATTGACGGTGACGAGATAATTGACCGCCCGGATGGTTTTCCCAATAGTGGTTTCTGATGCTGATACCAACATCTAGTTCAAGGCTGCCTGAACTGGTGGGCGCTGGTCCTATTCGTTTCACATATACGACAGTCGTCCGCACAGGCTTGTTTCTTACTCACCACCAGGTCCTCCCAGTGTGTACACCATCAGCAAAGTCGACGGATCTGTACCCCCAGCCCATAACGTCGGTTGAATTTATAAACATTCTAGGTTTGGTATTTTCACCATAAATTTCGGTCAATTGTTGAACCATACCTCCCCATGGCTCGAGCTCTTCTTGTTTTTCCCTTCTGGTTGCTATGGTTAGTGAAACAGATTTTCAACTAATAACTCTTGGATCCTGAAGCCCAAAACCAATGTCGGCGTCATTTAGAATTATATCATTTGATCAATATTAATGTATCATTCAATCAAGAAGAATTCGAGAAGTTGGCTGTACCGAATCAATTTTGATGCATATATACATGAAAACTGTACTACGCAGAAGGACTAGGTATCCGTTACTCTCGTCGTATATCTTAGCCAGAACAATGTAGATTTACTCGTGATTACAGCTATTTACTCCAAAAATCCCAGACCATAAATATCTCAAGAACACTATCCCGTACCCCTTTTGTGTTGATGACCACTAAGTCAATCAGTATCATTGAATTTCTCGCTCGACTGTCTTCTGCTGATCTTTCCTTGCTGCCCTTCTTGATAAAGAAAGTTGTGTATATTCTACTTTCCTTATTCAAAGAGTCCATCCATAAGGGAAACCCGTCGAGCTAGTCCCCATAGCATTGACATTTGTCATTGTTCTAACTTCTCTGAATAGAACAGTCCAAGTCTTGGTACGGTCTGTTTGAAATGGTGCAGAGAATGATTGTACATTGTTACAACAAAATATATGGCATATTTTTCATCACGTTCAAAAGGCTGGTCCAATGCTTAAGCCAATTACTTTGACGAACCCCTCATCAGTTTCGAGATGGAGAACAGTCGGACAAATCCTACCGCGCAACTCTGTCTTGCTATTCTCGGGGATGCTGAACATAAACACAGCTCAAAGTTGCCACAACTGTTTGGAAATTCAGTGGAAAATATCAATAAGCGGTTTGAAGCCATATGAGCCGTATCAACCATGTCATTAAAACTGCTCGCGCTTGTGGAAATTATGTTGATTAACCTCATGTAATACTCATCAGTAGTCGTCGTCGCTAATTAAACTATCAATCTTGTCACTAAAGTAGATCAGCAATTGTTGAAGAAAAAGGGAGGTACCCGACTGGAGAACCATTGTTCCAAAAAATAAACTTGACTTGTTGAAGCCATCATCCAAAGGCTTATTTTCGAATACGTCTCATCTTTCAAAATCTCATCCTGAATTTCATTTATAAAATTTTTTTCGACCTAGACCTCAACTCGTTTTGTTACTCAGCGGCGACAGTACAAGCTCTCAAAACTCCAACCCCTTAAATTGCATAGATTGTGAAGAAACAAACAAACACACCAAGAAAGTACTCTCTACTCACCACGTTTTTGTGGCCCGTGAAAGCTCCGGACCACAAGACATAACCTTTCCGTAGTTAGTATCCAGCACGCTTATGCATAAATAGTAGAGACATTTTTAGGCTACTTACAGACGCCCGTATCAAAATAGGTTACGAAGCGCATATGGACACCATAGGCAGGTTTACGAAGTCGACTGGCTTTTCCAAGCTGGCATGCTCGAACGTGTCCAGTATCCCCACATCATTGACATTCGAAAAGGAAGAATGCCGTTCAACCTGCTACCGTTTTTAGTTCGCATCGATGTGCATCTAAATTTGCGACAAGCGGAGTTTTTCAACATTCTCCACGTTGTTCGTCTCAATGTACTCAAAGGTCAATCTGCCCCAAATGAGATCCAAGAAGAGCAACACGTGGATGACGCCCCAGGCCAAGCTCATGCTGTAGAAGAAATTGCTATTGCCGTTTCCGAGCACGATCCAGCAGTAGTAGAAAATGGGCGACAAAAGCAAGCATGTGATGAGCATGAGAGTGGTGATAGACAAAAACTTGGCGTGTGGGATCACCGTGTTCTTGAAAATGGGGAAGAGTGAGATGGAAAAACCAAGATCGCCTATGATCGGGTAGGACTTCGAGAAGGAGATCCAGAGGAAACAGAGAGCGAAGGCGAAGAACGAGTCGCCAGTTCTTTTGTCGGAGGCGTACTCGAAGAAGCGGAGCGTGAAGGGAACCACAAACACAAAGTTGTACAAGTTGAAGATGCCCTTGTACAACAGAGAGAAGAACTCGAACATCTCCGTGAAGATGTACCACCAGAGCCCCAAGTTGGGCGTGATTTTCTCAAACAGTATCACGGACCAGTAGCACAGGTAGAGGAAGTCGATCAGCGGGTAGAGAGCGAACGACACGAGGAGCAAGCTGGTCACGGAAAAGAAGAAAATCACAAACGTCTTCACGATCTGGGTCTCCCAGTCCCGCACGGGTGCCACCGCGTACGCCAAGGCCAAGTACGGCGCTATCATGTAGATTGGGTTGAACGACAAATACGACGCCACGCCAAGTGCCATGGCGCCGCGGTAGATGTTCTTGTCCACAACGGCCTGCACCAACAGTTCCACGACCAAGAAGTACGTGAACACCGCAGTCGAGTGCGCCCAGTTGGTCAAAACAAGCAATGGGTTGAAGAGGTAGAACGCGGCCACCAAGCCGGCGCTGGCGCCCTCAAACGTCCGGCCTGTTTTGCGCGAGTGGTGCTGGTTGTACCAGGCGTTCAATTGCGTGAGTTTGTATGCGATTCCCACGTCGAGAGCAGTATAGAGAGCCGTGAACAAGAAGTCGTTGTATGGCGGCGGAAGGGCGTCGTTGAGCAATTTCATCAACGTCACAAACAAGGGCGGGTGGTGCACGATGGCGCCGTCGTACACATCAATGCCATGGTCCAAATAGAAAAACGCCTCTTTGAGCGAGCGGAACGAGTCTATGGGTGTAGACACCTCAGCAGTGGCCGCTAGTACGGTGGTGATTTGGGGGAAAAGCGTAGGCAACGCGAGGCGGAGGGCGGCCCCGGAGAGGAGCACGAGCGGTAGCGACATTGGGCGTTTCGTGGGGTTATGTTTGTGTGTTTGTGTGTTTGTGTGTTTGTGTGTTTGTGTGTTTGTGTGTTTGTGTGGTTGTGTGGTTGTGTGGTTGTGTGTTTTTGTGTGGTTTTGTCTGGTATTTTCCTGATGTTCTCTGGTGTTTTCTGGTGTTTCTGGAGCTCTCTTGGGCAAGTATCTGGGGCCGCGGGCCAGAGTCGACGGGCTGGGCCCGCGCACCCCCAGGGCCTGGTTTAGCGCGACGAGCGTGGGGCGCGGGGCCAGAAAAAAAAAAGCAGGCCTGTTTCTAGGGCCTGGCGCGAAAACGAGCACGGGCCGTCCAAGTTCCCATCCGGGCTCACGCCTGGAACTTCTCCTTTGCTAGAGTCTGCACGGTATACGCCAGAAACATACCCCGAGCCACCGCCCGCCCGCCTAATATATCGAGTGAAGCCAGCCCCCTCACCATGTCTTCGGTACGTTTTTCTTGCCGAGCCAGCGCCCATTTCTGAGCACCATACTAACACCGGCAGTTCCAGCCCATCAACCCCAAGCCGTTTTTGAAAACGCTCCTAAACAAGCCTGTAGTGATCAGGTTGAAGTGGAACAAGTTGGAATACAGAGGTACGCTCGTGGCCATCGACAACTACATGAACCTACAGTTGGAGGACGCTTCTGAAGTAGTCAAGCAGGACGCCACGGAGCCCTCTGAAACCGGCGAGCCTCCCGCCGGCGACGAGGGCGACAAGATCGGGGACATATTCATCCGATGCAACAACGTGCTTTTCGTGAGAGAAAACACAAACACGGCTCTGGCCTAGACGAGAGGTTGTTCCTGGTGACCTGCCTTGCGATCGCCGGGGACGCCTCATCCCCGCCACAACCTAAGACACTGCCGCTGGCAGTCTGAGGACAAGCGTTTCGTTCTTCAGACGGGGGACGCGGCTTTTTTTGAGCTCTCTTCTCGGGCCCTTTTTCAGAGTTGATACCGGTAGAGGGCTCGTGGATGACAACGGCGTAGACGCCAATAGGGCAGCATGGTCTCTCCACGAGACCGGCGCAACACCGGGTATTGGACTAAAAGTAGGACTGCCTTATGCAAAGCAAGAAAACCCCCTCCAGCTAATAAACAAGAACAGCCTACGCAGAAGTATCCACACTACCCAGGCGCCGTCCTAAATAGACCGGATGTAAGGCCCGAGATACGCCTGAGCCACGCGCAATCCACATGTGGCACCCAAAGGACATGCGTGGCTCGAGGAACTATCTGAAGGCCTTCTCCACGGTCCTGGCTGGGCCGTTATTTACATTACCCAAGCGTGTCTATTCTAACAGTCAGCCAGAGTCTGGCGCATGTATATTTTGTAAGGGGAACCCTTGAGTCCACCGCCGGCATCTAATAGGATTGTCACGACCAGACGTAGTGTATTCCAGCAACAGATCATCAGTACCGTGCGATGGTGCGATAGATAAGGAACATCATGAGCCGGCACAGGCTCCGAGCGAAAAAAAAAAACGCCCGAAAAAGACAATGAGCAGCATTCTAGAACACAAGGAGTCGCGGCCGGACTCCGTTCCAAAACCTGTGACATGCTTTTATTTCGAGGCCGTCCGGGGCCCGTGGCCCATGGATACCGGGACTGCGCGCAGGCCAGCGCCATGAACATCGCGCGCACCTCGCCGATTCTTCGCCCGACATACCCAAGCCATGGAGCCAGCACCGTATGGAGGGTTCATGACCCGCACCATTGCCGGCGAAAACGAGCAGAAAGAGTTGCTTGCGCGGCAGGCAGCCGAGGTAGACGTGGGCGGCGTCAGCGAGACGTTGCGCCCCGACGCTGTGCACATACGCGGCGTGGACAACTTATCCACGGAGGAGATCGAGGCGTTCGTCGACTTGTACCTCAACGTCGAGTCGGACGGCCCGGAGTACCGCAGGCAGGACGAGCCCGTGTGGTTCCGGGTGCAGTGGGTCGACGACTCCAGCGCCAACGTGCTCTTCAAGACGCACGCGGACAGCCTCCGGGCCTTGCAGCGCTTGAGCGAGCAGTGGCCCGCCGTGGAAAACACCGCGGGCGGCCCCGACGCCGGCGGGCCCGCGTTCTCGGCGCCGTTCTTGGCGGCGTTGGTCGAGGAGCGGCGGGCCCGGCCATACGCCGCGGCGGTCCCCTACCACCAGCACCGCCAGCAGCTCAAGGAGCTCGCCGACGGGCAGGACTTGTTCCAGGCGAAGAAGGCCGAGCTCGAGGAGCAGAAGCAGAGCGCGATGGACGAGGACGGCAGCCCGGTGGTGTTGCACGTGCGCCAGGCGTTGCAGTCGGACCGCAAGGTCAAGAACGCCGCGGCGTACTCGCGGTACTACTTGCTCCACGGCGAGCCGGACCGCACGAGGCCGCGGGTAGCGCGGCGCGGCGGCGAGGCCCGTGGGCGCGGCACGTACGCGCGGGCCGAGGACGACGGCGAGGACTTGTTTGCCGCCAAGATCAAGAGCGGCGCGGAGGCGGGCCTGTTCGCGGAGAAGGACCTTTCCGCGGAGGAGGACTTGTTCGCGGCGCGGATGCGGGAACAGTCGCCCGGGCGGAAGTAGCGCTACATAGACCCCCGTAATGCACGGCCGCGCGCGGCTTGGAGTTTCCTGCGGGCGGGCCTAGTTGCCCTCCTGGCCGAAGTCGTGGGTGAACCTGGTGTGGTTCTCGATGTCGTGGGCGTTGACCGTGGGCCGGTTGTTCTTGATGGCGCGGATGAAGTCCTTGACGGTCAACTCGGGCTCCTGGAGCGCGTCCGTGTCGACGTCGAGCCAGCTCATCTCCGTGGCGCCGGCGTCGCCCGGCGAGCAGGGCGTGAAGCGGGCGCGGTCCGCGCCCACGCGCTTGAAGTGGGTGGCCTGCTGGATCTTGCGGATGGGCTGCATCAACGCGTCGCGCACCACCACGGCCACGTCGTGGCCCGAGTAGCCGTCGGTCATGTCCGCGAGCACGCGCAAGTCCTGGGGCGAGCACTCGCAGGGCACGTCGCCGATGTTTAACTCGAACATGCGGCGGCGCGCGTCCGCGTCCGGCAAGGCGATGTAGATGCGGCGCTCGAAGCGGCGGCGCACGGCCGCGTCCAACTGCCAGGGGATGTTGGTGGCGCCGAGCACCAAGACGCCGCCGGCGTCGTTGCCCACGCCGTTCATCTGCACCAAGAGCTCGGTCTTGATGCGGCGCGACGCCTCGGACTCGCCCTCGCCGCGCGGGCCGCACAACGCGTCGACCTCGTCGATGAAGATGATGGCCGGGCGGCTCTCGCGCGCCATGGTGAACAACTGCTTGACCAAGCGCTCGGACTCGCCCATCCACTTGGACACGAGGTCCGACGACAGCACCGAGAAGAACGTCAGGTTGGCCTCCGTGGCCACGGCCTTGGCCAAGAACGACTTGCCCGTGCCGGGCGGGCCGTACAAGAGAATGCCCGCCGTGGGCTTGCGGTTGCCGGTGAACAACTGCGGGAACTTGACCGGGAGAATCACCGCCTCCTTCAACGCGTCCTTGGCCGCGTCCAAGCCGGCAATGTCGCTCCACTTGACGTTGGGCGTCTCCAGCAAGATGGCGCCGGCCAACGCGCCGCGGAGCTTCTTTGTGTCCGCGTCGTCCTCGTCGCCATCGCCGCCCAGTTTCTTGGCCTTGGTGGACCCGCCCGCCGACAGCTCGCCCAGGCCGGCCCGCGCCTGCTGCTTCTCCAAGTGGTCCTTGAGCTGCTCCGCGCGCGTCAAGTACTCCGTGAACTTGGACTTGATGAGGTCCTTGGACTTCGGGTTCTTCTCGTACTTCAACGCGAGCATCAAGTAGTCCAACCCGTTGTAGTAGAGCTTGTACGCCTCCTCGTAGCGCGTGGCCGTGTCGGCCTCGATGGCCTTCTGCACGAGGTCGATGCCTTTGTTGAGAAATTCTGCTGCCCCGGACATGGTAGGAGAAGGGCGGTGGGGTTGGGGTTTGTTGTTTTTGTTGGGGCCGAGTTGGTGGTTCCCGCCGGGCCAGCTGATAACAGGACAGGCTCGATAGCGCGGCGCGGCGGCGCACGACCAGGCCCCAGTGCGCGGCCGGGGCCCTTTCCTGCGAATGGCGGCCCTATTAGTGGGCTGGAAAAGGCCACGGCCAAATGACAACCGGCGGCCCGGTGCCCGCTGGCTTGGCGGTGCGTGTTCTCCTTGGCGCCAGCTGGCGGCCCTGTTTTTTCCGGGGCGTCTGGGGCCGGGCCCGTGGAAAACGCCCGCATGTCTATAGGAGACGGCACCCCAGGCCCGGACGGGCCGCGGGGACGTGCCGCGAATGGTGGCCCGGCTTTAGGCAGAGGCCCCGTGCTCGCGGGCGGTGCCCTCGAGAAAATCCCCAGAAACCCTGCGGTTAGGGCCAGGAAACAGATTGCAGCCGACTAGAATCCCAAAATAATTTGCAGCCGACAGATAATCCCCGAAATAATTTGCACCCCGACAAATAATCCCAATAATTTGCAACCGGCCAGAATCCCAGAAATAAATTTGCAACCGGCTAAACCCCCCAGGAAACAAGTTTGCAGCCGGCAAATAATCCTCCAGGTCCTGCCATCCAGGAACACCCCAGAAGTTCCTGCGATCCAGAAAACCGCACCTGCCAAAGCCTGCCAAAGCCTGCCAAAGCCTGCAAACTCCTTCTTCGTGACAACGCCCCGGCCAGGCAGCCTGCCTCCGATATCCAAAATAATCACATTCTGGTTTGGGCCAGAGGAAGCCTTCAAAGAAGCACGTGGTCATAGTGGGCACCTCTATTCTCGTGTCGGGCCAGTGGGCGCACTCGCGTTTTGGTCCTCCTGGGGCCTACGGCATAGAGCAGAGACCCAAGGTCCCCGGAAATTGATTTTTTGCCCTGCCGGCTCAAAAACCCGGAATCTAGAAAATCCGTCATATCGTGCTCTACAAGAATGCTCATTGATCTCCAGAGGCTCCTTCATTATCAGCAGAGATCGTAAAAGTGCGGCCTCGTCAAACTAGCCCTGTTTTGGTCTGCTCGGCTCCGTTCAAGGCCTTTTGCAGATTTTGCCAGCAGCCACCACGCTTTCTGAACCGCCACGTCTCCGACAGCAGGCTCTACACACGCCCTTTGACACTTTCTCTGCATGGAGGCAGCCTCGTGAAATAAAGCGGTGTTCTCGAAGAATCTTTCATGACCAAATCAACGACCTTATGCTTTTTGATGTGGGGAATCTCTGGCCTCCTTCCCCACGTTATTAATCAATATCAACCACTGCCAACATTTTAGAAATACTCTTCAGGTGAGTCGCACCATATGCTCTATTAAAGGGTGTACCACTCGTGCTGAGTAGGCCCTACATACTTTCCTACCTAGACTCCCGGTGAGATAGAAGCCAAACTAGTCATTGTGTTTCTTTGGTTTCAAACACGAGCAGTGATACGCTTTTCGCGCGCTCCTTCTTATATTAGATAGACGTATATGCTCACTTAATCCCCGCAGAAGTAAGCAACAGTTTTATTTCTGGAACAAAACGCCTGCGTCCACGTATGCTCACAAGATTCAAGACGTTTTTTCACGACTGGTGTCTTGGTTTGCCGGCTGACAGTTATTGCACTTCCCATCTCAAAACCCAGTTTGGACTCATGGACAATATCAAAGGCAGTGTTCCACCGAATTTAAATGAGTGCCGCGAAGTCAATATCGCAGGGGACGTATGTGAACAAGAACTAAAGCCACTTCACGAGAAAAGGCGGATTGGACCAAAAATCGCACGTCCGGCCGCACATTGGGTTCGCAACATATCGGTTCTCAGACCAAGGCGGTTGGATTAAAAGAAACTCGAACATGCTTGCCCAAGACCCGTTTTAGCCTGGGAGCAACCTTGCTAATTGAATAGGGCTAGAAGACATGCAGGCACTTGTGCTTTCGAAACCGGCTGAATATGCGACGTGCCGCGGGCGCCGTGGTGGTACGCAGGATATTGCCGCGGGTGTAGTAATTGCGCCTGTAGTCCCACGGGTATGTTGCATCTACACCTACGTTAGTCTCAGTTAAACTTGGGGGAGATAGGACACATTATAGTTACATTAGAGGCATCATTCACCAATTTCTTTTCGTGCTTTCTACGAATCTTGTGATCATTGTTATGTTTGGCCATGCTCGAGGTTTGCACATACCGATGCTTGTAGCCTAACTGGAACATACCCAACTGTCGGTCGACATACTTGCGTTAGACCTAAAGTTTTTTGTTTACTTTTTTATGGCCTATCCTTTGCATCCTGAAGTCATAAAATTCGTGTGATTTACAAAGGCTCAATCTTGTGTACAATGGTACCTCGCCCTTTTCTTTCAAAAGAATAATCGGAAACATCCCCTTTACAAGTCTCTGGCTCTCTGCTCTTGCTGAAACCTTTTTTGGACCGCTCCAAATAATATACATCAGTAAGCTTCAGTCCCCTGCGTCACACAATTTTCCTTGGACATACAAATTGTGTTATTCTCTAGCGTACCACCAGTTATGGAATGTCGCATCCATGTAAACCCCTGGTTTTGTCTATACTGGAGCTACTTGGGACCCGAAATGTCAGCGCAACATTTTCCCGGTGAGACACGAGGCGTGAGCTGTCATGGACTGCAGATACCCGTTTTCGGGGGCAATACGAGAATAGAGCACACATGGTCTGGCCGCTGGTGGCGTTGGCTCACAAAAAACTAAAGTCACATGATCAGTGATTCCTCAGCAAAAGCAGCTGCTTGGTAGTAAAGAATTAGGCAAGCGGATAGAATTCATGTAATTGTTGGCCGGACGTGGTTTACGGCCCCAACTGGAAAGCACCATGTGAAGGACCACCGCGTGGCGCCAATAGCGACCTATTTCCGCGTAGATGAAATAGTTTGCAATCTGGATATTTTTACGATTGCTCGCGCAAGACGGCATTAATAGCATCCTAAGGATACAGCAATCCAGTATTCCTCGGGCTCTGGGCCCAAAGTGGCCTCGGCACGAGTTTCCGCCCACACCCCCATTTATGGAGAGCGTAGATCGGAACCGCGCCTCTAATTTCCTCATTGGGTATGTCGCGATGCGGCTAGCTATGGTTTTGAACAATGCCGTGGTGTTCTTCCCAGCCTTAGACCTATTAGTCATCTCGCAAGCAAGAGCGACCATAAGTGTTCAACTTTTCGCATCCATTACTTTTCTTTTCTCTGCATCTAGGCATTCAGATACCTAGCATCGAGCTCCGAAAACATCATCAATTCTGTTCTCAGGTCCACTGCAAAACGGGCTCTCTGCACTGGCCTCAAAATCTACATAGGGCACTAGTGCAAACGACCCAGTACGAATTTCTACACATCCAACTTCGAACAAGCCAGCCCGGGACATTTTCAAAAGTCCTGTTTTTTTTTTTCGAATATGCTGGCCCATTCTCTCACGTCGCTTGAGCTGTTCAAGACGGAGAACTATGTTCCCCAGGCACTCGATGACCACGACGGGCTTCATAAAGTGGTGTCTAAAAACTCGAGCAAATCACTGCGGCTCACCAGAAACCCAACGCACCTTTCGGAGATAAGCAGAATCATTCTGGGCATACGAGATGACCGGGACCTTGACTCGGAGCAGTACGAGTCGTACTGCAACAACATGGAGCCCGAGGCTCTCTTGGCCAAACAGCTCGAATGCGTGCCTTCCAAAGTGCTGGAGGATACACGAGGCGGAACAGAAAACAGCAGCAGCGGCGAGGACGAAACCCACTTGGAGAAATCCGATCACCCAGTAGACGGTGCGTTTGCGTTCTGGCAGGCGGTTCTAGTCATGCTCATGGTGTTTCTGACATGGGGCACCAACGCTGCGTTTGGCATCTTTTTGAACTACTACTTGAGCTCGGATTCTTTTCCCGGCGCGTCCAAATATGACTTTGCGCTCATGGGCGGCATGGTGGTGTTTTTGGCCCAGCTCTTGGCGCCGTTCAGTACTCTCGCTGTGCGAGTCTTTGGCCAGACGCCCGTGCTAGTGACCGGAATCTGCATCCAGACTTTGGGCTATCTATTGGCGGCAGAATGCACGCAGCTCTGGCAGATTTTCATGTGCCAGGGTGTGCTTATCGGGATCTCGTTCTCCTTGATTTTCATCCCGGGCACCCTTGTGATTCCGACTTGGTTCGACAAATCCAAGGCTTTGGCCATGGGCATAGCCGTGTCCGGTGCCGGCTTGGGTGGGTTGGTTTACAGTTTGGCGCTCAATAGCATCATACAAAACACAGGTGACCAGAAATGGGCGTTGCGGACCGCGGGGCTCATGAACTTGGTCATTTCACTTTTTGGCACCCTCTTCTTGAGGCCCAGGAACAAGCAGAAGGTGCTTTATAAAAACACGCTCAATTGGGCCTTTGTCAAGAACACGTCCAAAGTCGTGTTCAACTTCAAGATCTTCTTGCACTGGCCCTTGTTCATCACCGGCGTGTGGTTTGGCATTGTCTTGCTTGGCTACGTCATCATTTTGTATTCGTTTGCAGCTGTTGCAACTTCAGTGGGCATGTCGCACACGCAGAGCTCCAACATCTTGGCTGTTTTGAACGCGCTGCAAGTGGTGGGAAGACCGCTCATTGGCAATTTCGGCGATTCTTTCGGCCGTAACAATACCGCAATTGTCATCTGTCTATACGTGGGGATTCTCCTGACTGCGTTTTGGTTGAACGCCACGTCGTATGTGTCGATCATGTTGCTTGCTACCTTCATTGGCGGACCCGTTGGAATTGGCAGTTTGATGGCCCAATCTCTAGCCTATGACATTCTTGCCTTTCGGGGTATTCCCGAGAAAATCCCTGCGGCGTGGGGAGGGCTTAATATCATAGTGTCGGTTTTCTCGCTTCCAGCAGAAGTCATTGCGCTCAAATTACAAGTGGATGCCGGTGCCAAGTCCTACCGCCACGCGCAGATCTTCACGGGCTGTTGCTTCTTTTTTGCGGCGTTGTTGATGATCTTCAATAGAGAATGGTTGATTCGCCAGACTCTTATGGTAAGACGAAAACAAGCAGAGGAGCACTTGGGACAGATCTCTCAGCCTGGTAATGAAACATGCCCGAACCCGGGGATTGCCAGCGAAGAAGAAAAGACTGCGACTAATGTGCTAGAACCGGAGGAAGTTCTTCAAGAGGGTTGATAGATACAATCAGCTCTTGGGAGCGAATCCCGTGTACTTTGTGCTCCGGATGTTCTACCCGATCCGCGTCTAGCGAAAGAGGATGCTGGCGTATTTCAGGGGTCCCTTTGGCCGTTGATAGTAGGTTTGTGAGCTATAGACGGTTCATGTTATCTTGGTTGCGACTGGTACCTGGCAAGTCTCTAAATCAGCAAGAATTCAGGGAGCTATTTTCCGTCCGTGATACACCTATTCCACCCCTTTGATTTCAAACGAGAGTAAAAGAAATCAGAAATTGTAGATCAAAGAAAGCTGTAATGGCACTCGGGTTCTTCAAGTTTGTATGGTCCTCATATGCCCATCTCACAGCAGGTGCTACTCTCCCGATGACATACGCTTGCGTATACGCTCCAAGGGCTCAAGAGAATACTGAGACATGTATGCGTTGGAGCACAGCGTGAAACATCATTGTTCTTAGTGTTGAGTGACGAGAGTTGTGCTTGTAACAGCTGTTAGACTAGGGCCCAGGAAGAGATACGTAAAATTAATAGAGCTGATGAAAATGATTCTGATTCCGATTGCAATAGTGGCAATCCCAGTGATGCTACAATGCTGGGAGCAGTGCTAATGCTAATGTAAATGATAATATAAGTGCTGAGAATAGGGCTAATGTCAGTGCTTATAGGTGCTAAGGCTAGTGCTGATATAAGTGCTAAATTGAGTGAAAATGTCGGTGCGAATGTCAGTACTAATGTCGGTGCTTATGTCAGTGCCAATATAATTGTTTTTGTAAGTCCTCATATAAGTGCTAGTACCAGTAATATATTAATATCAGTTTTAATATCAATACTAATTCCATTGCTAATACAAGTGCTGGTACAGGTGCTAATATAAGAGCTAATGTCAGTGCTAATATAAGAGCTAATGTCAGTGCTAATATAAGAGCTAATGTCAGTGCTAATATAAGAGCTAATGTCAGTGCTAATACAAGCGCGAATACCAGTAGTACCTGCGCCAATGCCAATTATAACAGTCCCGACACCAGTTCTAAAACAGTGAAAATGCCAATTCTAAGCCCGCCCAAACCGTAGACATCGCTTATGACAATGCAAATATCTATAATCATGGCAGACACACAAGGGCCAGCACGATCTACTAGCAGGCCAAAAGACCACAGACAAACCAAAAGAACACAATACGAACGCAACCCCAGAATTCAGATTAATGACTTTATGAAAATATACAATATTTGGTGGACGTCTTTAACGGTTAGACTTGGCAACTCTCTCCAACTCGTCCTTCTTCTTGATGGCGTAAGAGGTGGAGGAACCCTTGGCAGCGTTGATCAACTCCTCGGCCAAACACTCGGCAATGGTCTTGATGTTTCTGAAAGAAGCCTCTCTGGCACCAATGGTCAACAAAGCAATGGCGGTGTTGACTCTTCTCAAAGGAGACACATCAACAGCCTGTCTTCTGACAGTACCGGAGGAACCGATTCTGGTGGAGTCCTCTCTGGCACCGGAGTTGACGACGGCGTCGACAACAACCTGCAATGGGTTTTGCTCGGTGAGGACGCTGATGATCTCGAGGGCGTGCTTGACGATTCTGACGGCCTTCAACTTCTTACCGTTGTTCTTACCGTTCATCATCAAGGAGTTGGTCAATCTCTCAATAACTGGACATTGGGCCTTTCTGAATCTCTTGGAGGCGTATCTGCCGGCAGTGTGAGACACAAACACAGGAGATCTGATCTGGACGTAGTCGACCAAGGAAACGTCCTTGACCTCGACATCCTCAAAAGACCACTTGTTGAACAACTTGATCTCTTGTTGGGCAGCCTGGACATCGGCTGGGATTGGCGTGGCCAACTCAACCAACTGCAACTCTTGTTGCACAACTGGCTCTTCGATTTGCTGTTGTTGTTCCTCGACGTCAGACATGTTTACTTCCGGTACTGGGGAAAAAAAGAGAAGGGCTTCAGAAATCACTGTGAAATGGAGCTCGGGCCATGGGCGAAAATTTGCCTGGTGTCGCGGGTCTGTGTGCAGGCCGCCGTGCTGAGATGTGTGCGACACCACTGTTTCTGCGGAACACCCCAGCACGCCTGCCGCATTGGGCTAGGGCTCGCGCCAGCCGTGCCCTGTGCGTGCGCACGTGATGCCCTACTTTCGGGAAGCGGCGGTGCCCGATTTGTGGAAACGCCCGGGAAAGTGGGTAGAAGCATGTTTTATGTCCTTTTGAGGCTGTGTGATTACGATTTTCTGCTCAATTTGCTTCCCGGAATCTGGTTGTAGGCGTTTACTGGGACCTGGGATCGGCAATCTACTGTCTGCGCTACCCTACGAACGGCAGATGCTGCAAATTTCAGAATCGCCAGTTTTTTCGACTTTTTGAGGGACGGGCTCTTTTCAATCAGTCCAGATGATCTCAGGCTCTCCAGAACTGTGATGCAGCCGTGTATTCGTGTCTTGTTTTGGAGCCTATGGCCCGATTGCAAATGCTGGGGTATATGGTCGGCCGGCATATAGGCACTGAAAATTTTTATCTACGTTTTTACTTCTTCGCACCAATTAGGCAATGTATATTCTAGACCGCCCCCTGTGTAAACCTCAGTCTGTTTGCAGCTTATGCCAGTATCGAGATTTACGATGACAGAAACTATAGGGTGAGAATGAAGATTCTAGAGGATCAGAGATTAAACTACTACTGGAACCATAGCTGCTGCTGTGGTTATGCATAAAAGCCTACATGTACAGTTCGTCGTCGATCACCGCAGTGTTGCACGTCTTGTTGCCTAATTCGCGGGCTCGAGATATTGTGTAGAGTGCTTCCAATCTAAGAGCCCACAAACTCTTTGGATATCAGACTTTGAGAAGTGCTCGAATATGGGCCTTATTCTCCAAGCTATTTTTGAGTTTTTCTGTTTTCGTTGCAAGTTTACGACCACACATGGAATATGTGTCAATGCAAAATGCTCGTCTGTAAAGCCCATATAATCCTGAAAAACAAATTGCAAAAAGAATGCCATGGTTAGTCATCAAAGTACAATTCAGAGTCGTGCATATCTCTTTTGACTATGAGAAAAATTTCCGCTGTGTGATTTTCCCCTGTTGCTCTCCTCGGACTATTCAATGCTGCAGTCTTATGTGGGAAACCCGAGTATCAATTCTTGTGTTTCGGTTATACTGAGCCTCGAAGCTGAATGTACATTCTATGATAGTATGAACAAGATTTTTTCACGGAAGATGGCTAGTGGTGGAGACTCCAAGACTAAGCCAATTGTTTGTAGAACACAAGACTATAATAGGAAACCATGTAGAATGGCTCCCCTCGGCAAATGAACCAATTATCCTCTACCACCGCCACTACCCGCTAGTTGCAGTCATGGGAGGGGGGAAGCTAATTTCAAAATCCAGTCTAAGATTTTTACTGCATCCGTTTTTCCATTCCATGTATATCTTAATTCTGTATTATTGTGTTCAGAAACAATCCTTGATGTCTCAATCACAACAGGTCTCTCCGGTCCAAATCGATCATCAGTTCTTTGCACTTGAACTAAATAATTTTAAGTAACTTCGCGAAAACTTAATGACCTGAATGTTATTGAGAGGTGGCGATCAGTGTCCGGTGCAATCTAAACCCGTGCGCATTTCAATTTCAAACAGTTCGCAACTTCGAACTGCTCATGACGAAATACCATGATCTATACTCATACTAGTTCTTTCATGATGTCTGTAAAGCTGCGTTCCAAGTGTCTTGGTCCATACAAAGTGAGCGGCTTTGGTGGTATTTACTCTGAAGACGAAGTGCATCATATTTTCAGTTATACTGTCGCTCTGCTTTTTTAGTGTTCTACGGATTCAAGGCTTCAGTAGCACTCGAACAATGCATGCTGTGATTCTTCGCAACAAACCAGTCACTCTGATAATCCCGACCCAGTAGATGTTGCTCAGCTCGCTTCTGTTTGAATTCTTTAGCCTTTTTCTGATTGAAGTCGAGTCATTGGCTCTTTTGTTCTGGGAATTCAGCCTTGAACGTCTTTTGATAATAAGCAGCGCACGTGACCACGGTTAAGCGACCTGCGACTCGGAGTCAACAAATCACTAGCATGCAGCTTGTGTCAGACAATCACTAATAGCCATGTTTTGGATTTGGAATTTGCGGACTTCAGATAGAACTTTTTTTTTTGACCCTAGCAGAACTATCGATGTTCAATACTGTATTCAATCTTAGTGAGCTAGCGCATTTAATCTATGCCGCTCCATCGACCGCAAAGCAGAACAGTATATCGCATGACCCTTTTCGGTTTTAGCGGTCAATCTCTTGATGCTGATTCCTACAAATACACCATCTGCTGTATCCTTCGTCAAATATTTGCTCACTGGTCTTACGGAGAAAAATCCGTACCGCCCATCAGTATCTTCTGTCTTCCCCATACTTTTGCTCAAAACCTCTCCCCACACCCGCGATAGCCTGCGTCTTTCGCAGTATGATCACCGGTCACACTGCGCGGCGCAGTTCGTATTTACGCTGCGAGTTTTAAAGTACGGCCACGTATTAAATGAACCAAGACCTCGAGTAACGTCCGGATTAGCAGGAAAATAATCACTCTGAGAAGGCTACAAGCACAGGTCTGATCCAAAATTCATGAAGTAGCTGTCCGCCAGAAAAACCATGGCTGAATGTCCTCATATGAGATTGTAATCTGGTGGTCCTGCACACACGTCGCCCGTGTATTTATTTGGTCGACCTGTCCACCCCCAGGTTCGAATTCTCACCAACCCTCTAACAAATGTCCACCTATAAGCCTCCAACAGGCCCTCCTCCTAGCTGGGACGCCAAAACCTCAGGTGCCCCAAATGGTGCCTCTTCATCTAATGCCCAAATGTCCAGAGGCTACGCGCCTCCCCAACAGCCCTCTTACCAACAAGGCTATCAACAAGGTCCTCCACAAGGAGGCTATCAACAGGGCCCCCCGCAAGGAGGCTACCAACAAGGCCCTCCTCAAGGAGGTTATTATCAAGGCCCACCGCAAGGAGGCTACTACCAGCAGCAGCCTCAGCAGCCGTACTATGTGCAACAGCAGAAGCCGAGCAACAATAACAGTAACTGCTTGATGGGTTGTTTGGCTGCCTTGTGTTTGTGCTGCACCTTGGATGCCATTTTCTAGATGGGCGTGGATATGTGTACTTTTTTAATAAGACTAATACAACAGATGCTTTGTAGATCGTATGGAGATTCATCCGAGAAGGGCCCCATTGAAAGTGAGGTCCCAGCTTTTGTTCGGTGGCACGGCCCAACGTTCACCGTAAAATCGTGAATGGGAATTGAACAAACATGAGCAATATGTCGATACATATTTCACAGTGATATAATGTTGATTCTATTAGTCAAGGCTAATGTTTGAGAGTGCTAAGCCTCCAAGGTGGCTTCGGTATAGAAGCTGTGTGCGCTTCTTGGGTACAATATTGTCCAAACATATGACAGCTTCTAAGTATCAAGAACATTCGGCTCTCCTGCGAATCAATTGCGATTGTCACTGCCCTCATCGGAAACTTTTGCTCAAACATTCTGGGAGGCTCAAGAGTAACACAATCCCCTGCAAGCTCGAATTGGCCCATTCATTCTGAGTACCATAGAAAAATATACTGACTTTGAAGACACCTTTCAGGATGAAGGAGACTCAAGAGCGATGTGCAAGAAACTATTCTTCAACCATGTATTGCTTCATCTTGCTTCATGGCAAAGATACGTCTAGTAGTATCGTGCAGTGAAAAATAAAAACAAACAGAGTAGCACGTTCTCAAATGGGGCTTGTAGACTCGAGCCCAAACCATGCCGGCTCTTACAAATTGTCCCACTTCATGTGAGACGTCGATATGAGGGACTTTCGTTCCCAGTCCAAAATCTTGATGCCATGCTCCCCTATTGACTAGTCAAATCGGTCCCATCAAAGCGCATGCCGTCATATGTTCGTTGTTTATGTTTCTTTGTTAGGTTGAAAATTTTCTTCTTTGCGTCGATTTATTTTCGAACGAGCAGTAGCAAGTCCACAAGGGTAATCAATGATATTCAGAAGGTCGTATCGGATATCATTCCCCCATGAGACCTGCAAATTTGGCTTCAAAAACACTTCACGGTCCTCACGCCCTTATGGATATTCACGTTGTTTTTATTTATTGCACACCAAGGCGCAATGGGCATTTTATGTACACTTCTTTATTCTTGGTTTTTTTTTTTTTTTTGGTAGATTCATGGTAAATTCATCTGATTTAAGGAACAAAACTATACAAATGAAACTCCAAGCTAACTAGCTCCCAGATACGTGCCAAATGTCGATTTTTTTTTTTTTT